TACACACACACACACACACACACACACACACACACACACGCACACACACACACACACACACACACACACACACACACACACACACACACACACACACACACACACAACACTCTCTCAACAACTAGGAAAATACCCAAGATACCCCCCCCCCCTCCCCACAAACACGGCCAGCTACCCTCTCCATATCTCACCACACAAACAACTCACCATTTCCCGGCGTCATTAAGCTGTCACAAAAACGACTGTGTACATCACCAGAAGGAAGGAATAGACCAACATAAGGATAATTGTTTCATTAGCAAGAAGATGGAGAGGAATAAGTACGCGCGCTTTAACCAAGTAGCTGTCAGGGAGTGCGGGAGGGGGGGGGTCGCTAAAATCCAGGGTGGTAAAAGCCGTCTAGGGATGGATATAGTGAGCAACGACGCTCTAAAGGCTACAGTTAATGTCTCCCTGGCGACGACTATACTGTTGGACATGTTATCTTCTTAAAATTGCTTTACTAATTGCATTACTGGCGGTTATCTTATAAAACAGCTTTATTACGGTTATTATCTATTTTGTAGAAACATTTTTGGCCAGAAACATTTAAGGCAACTGTCGTGAAGTGCAATATTCTTCTTTGTGGAGAGTAGAAAATAATTTTAATGGAAACGGCAGATGAGGCCATTGAACGCAGTTTCTCTTTATATGTACCAAAACACACTTATATATATATATATATATATATATATATATATATATATATATATATATATATATATATATATATATATATATATGTCGTACCTAGTAGCCTGAACGCACTTCTCAGCCTATTATGCAAGACCCAATTTGCCTAAGAAGCCAAGTTTTCACGAATTGTTTTTCGGCTACCTAACCTAACCTAACCTATAGAGATAGGTTAGGTTAGGTTAGGTAGGGTTGGTTAGGTTTGGTCATATATCTACGTTAATTTTAACTCCAATAAAAAGAAACTGACCTCATACATAATGAAATGGGTAGCTTTATCATTCCATAAAAAAAATTAGAGAAAATATATTAATTCAGGAAAACTTGGCTTATTAGGCAAATTGGGCCTTGCATAGTAAGCCGAGAAGTGCGTTCTGGCTACTAGGTACGACATATATATATATATATATATATATATATATATATATATATATATATATATATATGTCGTACCTAGTAGCCAGAACGCACTTCTCAGCCTACTATGCAAGGCCCGATTTGCCTAATAAGCCAAGTTTTCCTGAATTAATATATTTTCTCTATTTTTTTTCTTATGAAATGATAAAGCTACCCATTTCATTATGTATGAGGTCAATTTTTTTTTATTGGAGTTAAAATTAACGTAGATATATGACCGAACCTAACCAACCCTACCTAACCTAACCTAACCTATCTTTATAGGTTAGGTTCGGTTAGGTAGCCGAAAAAGTTAGGTTAGGTTAGGTTAGGTAGGTTAGGTAGTCGAAAAAAAATTAATTCATGAAAACTTGGCTTCTTAGGCAAATCGGGCCTTGCATAGTAGGCTGAGAAGTGAGTTCTGGCTACTAGGTACGACATATATATATATATATATATATATATATATATATATATATATATATATATATATATATATATATATATATATATATATATATTTTTAAGATGAATAGGAAAACCAGGGATATACTGAACATCTTGTATCAGATTCTTTACTTTAAAATGCATAACGTTTCGAATACTTCTCGTATTCATCATCAGATCTAAAAGAAAAAACAGAAATCACAATCAAATAAGTAGTAAACAAAGAACTCATACTGAATATAATTGCCTATCAAAGAAAGGAAAATGCTTAAAAAACAAAACACTTAAGCGCACTTAAAGTGATCAATACAAATAACACTTATTAACTGTCACATATATTAAAACTAATTTAAAATCCATTAAACTACAAGATGAAATTTATAACTACTAAAACAAACCATTCTATTAAACTTACGTGAAGTGATCAGAAGTGAAACTTGATACCCAACACATAGATACTAAACACTATAACAAATATTTATATAATGACTACAAATCTTCAAAAAATGTATGTAAAATACAAACAGAATAAACGACAATTATAAAGTACTAACCAAAATCTTATAAATAACTCAAATATTAAATAAAATTCAATAATATTTGAGTTTTTTATAAGATTTTGGTTAGTACTTTATAATTGTCGTTTATTCTGTTTGTATTTTACATACATTTTTTGTAGATTTGTAGTTATTATATAAATATTTGTTATAGTGTTTAGTATCTATGTGATAGGTATCAAGTTTCACTTCTGATCACTTCACGTAAGTTTAATAGAATGGTTTGTTTTAGTAGTTATAAATTTCATCTTGTAGTTTAATGGATTTTAAATTAGTTTTAATATATGTGACAGTTAATAAGTTTTATTGTATTGATCACTTTAAGTGCGCTTAAGTGTTTTGTTTTTTAAGCATTTTCCTTTCTTTGATAGGCAATTATATTCAGTATGAGTTCTTTGTTTACTAGTTATTTGATTGTGATTTCTGTTTTTTTCTTTTAGATCTGATGATGAATACGAGAAGTATTCGAAACGTTATGTTTTTTAAAGTAAAGATTCTGATACAAGATGTTCAGTATATCCCTGGTTTTCCTATTCATCTTAAAATTAAGATTCCCGAAGGGAACATCGATCATAAATATTTTATTATATATATATATATATATATATATATATATATATATATATATATATATATATATATATATATATATATATATATATATATATATATATATATATATATATATATATATATAATATATATATATATATATATATATTTTTTTTTTTTTTTTTTTTTTTTTTTTTCAATATATAGGGGTACCACCTCTGGTGCAAATGTAGGGACATATATATATATATATATATATATATATATATATATATATATATATATATATATATATATATATATGACTAACACATCAGAGTTGAAGGAACATGCATGTATTAGTCATTAGGGATGGTGCTTCTAGAAACTCTTGGGTAATGGTCAATAGTCATAATGTTCACGTAGTCAATGGCCACGTGAATCTTATATGCACCATAGCTACGCCGTGTATTGCCACGTGAACCCAATGTATACTATAGTTAAGCCGTGTACAGCTACGAACACTTAATCTCACACTATTCCAACCTTTTGGCAGCCACCTCCACCCGTTCACCCTTCCATGTCTGGAGAAACAATTGAGCTTTTCTTTGGAATACTTCACATTTGGACTCATTAGCCACGGGGCGGTGACCCATCACTGTGACTTCCAGCACAAAAAAAAACTATTGATTTCCGTGTGTGTGTTAAACTGAAGTTCCTTTTAGTTGAATTAAGTACCAGTATCATTTTCAGCCCTCTGCTACCTTACTGGTTCATCGTTTGCACAAGAGATCTTAAACAGTTTTAATGACCAAACCACAACTCAGACGAAGGGGACGGAACGACGTTTCGGTCCTTCCTGAACCATTATCGTGTCGTGTGATTATGGTCTAGCACAGGGGTCTCCAAACTTTTCAATGTAAGGGCCACATTATATATTTCCCATATTTATGCGGGCCGGAGGAATAAAAAATGAAATTGCTATTTTGTATAACTAAGATAAAGGCATTGTCAAAGTACAGAGAAAAGAATATTGTACAGTGTTTGTGCTCCCTGAAACGGAAGCAGCGAAGCCCCACTCGCCCTCCATCCCCACAATATACAGTTATACACAACTGATTGGTTGTAATGCACAACACATACCTACTAGTATTAGTATCTGTGCGTCACACTATCGAGAGAGAGGAAAACTGACTCGGGTTGAGCGCCACCAGTCAGCAGCCCCAGCTTTGAATAATTCTGCGATGCCATTCGTACGATAATTATTTTTTCAAGGCCACCACACAGGGATTTGTTTGAAGGGCCAGATGAAATTATGTGGCGGGCCGGATGTGGCCCGCGGGCCATAGTTTGGAGACCCCTGGTCTAGGATAACTTGATATGATACAGGAGGGACCGAAACGTCGTCGCTTCTCTATCTTCTGAGGTGAGGTTTGGTCATCATTTCTTAAGCCAAGTTAATGTAACTCATCATCTTCATTAACAGTTCCCAAACTGATGGTTCAACATTCAGAGCGTCGCAAACTGATGGTTCAGCACTCAGAGCCCCGCAAAGTGATGGTTCAGCACTCAGAGCCCCGCAAACTGATGGTTCAGCACTCAAAACCCCGCAAACTGATGGTTCAGCACTCAAAACCCCGCAAACTGATTGTTCAGCACTCAGAGCCTCATAAACTGATGGTTCAACATTCAGAGCGTCGCAAACTGATGGTTAAACACTCAGAGCCTCGCAAAGTGATAGTTCAGTACTCAGAGCCTCCCAAACTGATGGTTCAGCACTCAAAACCCCGTAAACTGATGGTTCAGCACTCAGAACCCCGCAAACTGATGGTTCAGCACTCAAACCCCTGCAAACTGATGGTTCAGCACTCAAAACCCCGCAAACTGATTGTTCAGCACTCAGAGCCTCCTAAACTGATGGTTCAACATTCAGAGCATCGCAAACTGATGGTTAAACACTCAGAGCCTCGCAAACTGATGGTTCAGCACTCAGAGCCTCCCAAACAGATGGTTCAGCACTCAAAACCCCGTAAACTGATGGTTCAACACTCAGAGCCTCCCAAACTGATGGTTCAGCACTCAGAGCCTCGCAAACTGATGGTTCAGCACTCAGAGCATCGCAAACTGATGGTTCAGCACTCAGAGCCTCCCAAACTGATGGTTCAGCACTCAGAGCCTCCCAAACTGATGGTTCAACCCTCAGAGCGCCGCAAACTGATGGTTCAGCACTCAGAGCCTCCCAAACTGATGGTTCAGCACTCAGAGCCTCGCAAACTGATGGTCCAGCACTCAGAGCCTCGCAAACTGATGGTTCAGCACTCATAGCCTCCCAAACTGATGGTTCAGCACTCAGAGCCTCGCAAACTGATGGTTCAGCACTCAGAGCCTTGCAAACTGGTGGTTCAGCACTCAGAGCCTCCCAAACTGATGATTCAACACCCAGAGCCTCGCAAACTGATGGTTCAGCACTCAGAGCCTCCCAAGCTGATGGTTCAGCACTCAGAGCATCGCAAACTGATGGTTCAGCACTCAGAGCATCGCAAACTGATGGTTCAGCACTCAGAGCCTCCCAAACTGATGGTTCAGCACTCAGAGCCTCGCAAACTGATGGTCCAGCACTCAGAGCCTCGCAAACTGATGGTCCAGCACTCAGAGCCTCGCAAACTGATGGTCCAGCACTCAGAGCCTCGCAAACTGATGGTACAGCACTCAAAGCCTCCCAGACTGATGGCCCAGCACTCAAAGCCTCCCAAACTGATGGTCCAGCACTCAGAGCCTTCCAAACTGATGGTCCAGCACTCAGAGCCTCCCAAACTGATGGTCCAGCACTCAGAGCCTCCCAAACTGATGGTCCAGCACTCAAAGCCTCGCAAACGAACGTCAGAAGAAGCTCCGTAAGGAACAATTTCTATAGGAAAGTGACAGCTGATTAACTTTCTCTTAAACACTCATCACTTCTTAGATAAAGGACATCTTATCCAATAACAATTTTGTCGTGAGGTGTTCAACGATGTGTTGGGGAGTAGTTTGGTTATTGACTTCGATGTCCCCCTCTGTATCTGGACACCAGTTGACTGACAGCTGTGAGGCGGGACCAAAGAGCCGAAGCACAACCACCGCAATCACAACTAGGTAAATACTGTGTTATAGTAATAGCCTGATTCATCATTAAGCATTATATAATGGTTTAGGTCTTTTGACGTATTTACCTTAATAAATTTACTTTGTGAATGCGTTTCTGACATTTCTGACTAAACATATTTAAGGAACTTCTGTTATTCATATAATTGTCCGCATTTCACGGGCTATTAATAATGAATAAAACTAGAAAGGGTAATGTGTTCTCACAGACATAATAACACAGGATAAAACCCGCAATTGTGTATTTGTGAAATTTATGTAAAGAATTACATAATTTACCAGTCTCCGTGGTGTAGTGGTAAGACACTTGCCTGGCGTTCCGCGAGCGCTTTGTCATGGGTTCGTATCCTGGCCGGGGAGGATTTACTGGGCGCAAATCCTTAACTGTAGCCTCTGTTTAACTCAACAGAAAAATGTGTACTTGCGCGTACTAGTGGCTGTACAAGAATGTAACAACTCTTGTATATATCTCAAAAAAAAAAAACTTGTTTAAGTCTTAAGTCATTCGCACTCCCCTGAGTGCTTTGTCAAGGTCTGAGTGTGTGGTGAGGACGAGACTTACATCTCAACGTCTAATGAGGCAGGTGTCTGTTTGTTGTTGTTGTTTAAGATTCAGCTACTCAAAACAAAAAGTTCCAAGTAGAATGAATATGCAGTAAAGCAAATTAAGTAAACAGAACATCTTTATATATATATATATATATATATATATATATATATATATATATATATATATATATATATATATATATATATATATATATATATATATATATATATATATATATATATATATATATTAGTACCTCGATACTTCCTATAATAATTTTCCTTCTGAAATATGGGTCAAGTTAGTCACACCGATGTCAATATTGATGTCACAAATCTAGTGAACGAACTCCTTTATTCAAGTAAATGACTCGATCAAAACCCTACGGTATTCCCTATTGTTCCAATGTTCAAGATTTCCCTGGGGTTGAAACCTGCATATTGAAGTAGAGTTGAGCTTGCCGATAGTTAACACAGAGTTATGGCAATTCGACAATTATTCCCGCCAGCATCCTACAGAAGAGTTCCAGTAACGTGAACACTCTAGTGCTCATAATGGAGTAGTGACATTCCTCTTGGTTGCGACGAGCGCAGGAGATGATTGCACGTACACAAGTTATATAATTAGCAGCCATCTTGCACAAATCATTATACAGACGGAGAGGAAAGGTCGCATTTACCTACAATCACTCTAACAGGGAAGTCAGGGAAGAAGACAGGAACTGCATCTCCAAACGGATAAACAGTTCCTAATGAGCAAAAGACAGTACCTGTAGACGGGGGTGACGGAAGCGTTCTTGTACCAGAGGACCAGGAGCACCGGGTCCTCGGAGTTGACGGAGTTAATGTTGCAGGGAAGTTTGGCTGTGGACCCTCTGACAGCTGTCACCGCCACCAGAGTACCTGCTGAACACACACCACACAGTTAACCTCTTGCCCAAACAGTGGTAACTATATATATATATATATATATATATATATATATATATATATATATATATATATATATATATATATATATATATATATATATATATATATATATATATATATATAATCTTCGTCCATTTATCACACCTGCATACACCTTGCCTCTAATGTTAAACACCTTAATACTGTTACCATTATAATGATTACGAAAGCTAAATAATGGGAGTTACTATACTCTGACGCCCTTACACAAGGGACGCTGACACTGTATGTCTATGTGCCTTACAATCTGTCTCTCCCATGGAACATCACATGTCTATGTGCCTTACAGGCTGCCTCTCCCACTCTCCCTTGGTACATCACCTGTATGTCTATGTGCCTTACAGGCTGTTTCTCCCATGGTACATCGCCATCTGTAATAAACACTTCTGTACTTACTCCCACACCAAAGACCTTCTATGTCCTCCTCTGATAACCGTGGAGATTTTGTCCTAAACACACTATTAAACATAGTGTTTGAGTGTGTACTTAATGAATTTCTAGCTAACGAACCCGACACCTCTGAGTTTTAGTTAAGATACAAAACTGATTATTTAACAACACACTGTAGCTTCGTGGTGCGGGAAACTATTCAGTTCTATAACTCTATAAGGTACTTATGTTGTCTCTGTCAGAAACTTTGGAGTGTCAACAAAGTAGAACACCCCAAACTGCTTAAGAGACTTGCCAAGCAGAAACATATTTCCTGTTATCGTTAGATATTTATATATATCATATCAGGTAGGCAAATTAGCTTTGAAATGAAATAATGTCCGCTCTGAAGAAAATGCTGTTTGTTTGTAACGCAGAGTAGTAGTTTTATCGTGATCCCAATATAACACTTCATGGCATATTCTAGTCAAGTTGCTACTATTGATTATTGATTCTATTGTTAAGTTGATTCTAGCAATCTTTTGAAGGTATCTGGGGGATATTATATCTTCGAAGAGCCCACTTGTCCATTTTTCTTATGCAATTAAAAACTTGAAGGTCAGAACAAACAGCATTAGTGAATTTGGTCATCTTGATACCTGGTCGAAAGTAAAGTTATTGAACAAAGTCTACCCTTGAATAGCTGTGAATTATGGGGCCTGCAAGATGTTGATCATGCAGCCATGGCCAGCTTCATTTTGAATAGAGGAAATGATCTAGACATATGATGAGTGTCCATCCCCGCACTCATTGCAATCTCCTATTTGGGTTTATGTTCGAACTCCCACTTGAGAAAATAATTCATAAGCTAATAAAATAATTTTGTCTGGGAAATCACCCATCCAGTAAACTCCGCTTTGTTTTCTTTAGGTACTCACTTATCCCTGGCCACTCCTACGTTTCCGGAAACAATGGTTAATAGGAAATGTTACTTAACAATGAATGATATATATATATATATATATATATATATATATATATATATATATATATATATATATATATATATATATATATATATATATATATATATATATATATATGTCGTACCTAGTAGCCAGAACGCACTTCTCAGCCTACAATTCAGGGCCCGATTTGCCTAATAAGCCAAGTTTTCCTGAATTAATATATTTTCTCAAATTTTTTTCTTATGGAATGATAAAGCTACCCATTTCATTATGTATGAGGTCAATTTTTTTTTATTGGAGTTAAAATTAACGTAGATATATGACCGAACCTAACCAACCCTACCTAACCTAACCTAACCTATCTTTATGGGTTAGGTTAGGTTAGGTAGCCGAAAAAGCTAGGTTAGGTTAGGTTAGGTAGGTTAGGTAGTCGAAAAACAATTCATGAAAACTTGGCTTATTAGGCAAATCGGGCCTTGCATAGTAGGCTGAGAAGTGCGTTCTGGCTACTAGGTACGACATATATATATATATATATATATATATATATATATATATATATATATATATATATATATATATATATATATATATATATATATATATATATAATTTTATAATTATAATTTATAATTATATAATTTATAATTATATAATTTATAATAATATAATTTATAATTATATATATATATATATATATATATATATATATATATGTCGTACTTAGTAGCCAGAACTCACTTCTCAGCCTACTATGCATGGCCCGATTTGCCTAATAAGCCTAGTTTTCATGAATTAATATTTTTAGACAACCTAACCTACCTAACCTAACCTAACCTAACGTTTTCGGCTACCTAACCTAACCTAACCTATAAAGATAGGTTAGGTTAGGTTAGGTAGGGTTGGTTAGGTTCGGTCATATATCTACGTTAATTTTAACTCCAATAAAAAAAATTGACCACATACATAATGAAATGGGTAGCTTTATCATTTCATAAGAAAAAAATTAGAAAAAATATATTCATTCAGGAAAACTTGGCTTATTAGGCAAATCGGGCCTTGAATAGTAGGCCAAAAAGTGAGTTCTGGCTACTAGGTACGACATATATATATATATATATATATATATATTTGCCTAATATGCCTGATTTGCCTAATAGGCCGAGTGATTTTCTTTATTTTCAATAAATTGCTCCAGATAGTTTATTTGAATTATTATTACTATATTATATTACGAACATAAATTATTGACTCAGTTGAGTTTGTATAGGATAGGTTAAGATAGGTTAGGTTAGGTTAGGTTAGGTTAGGTTAGGTTAGGTTAGGTTAGGTAGGGTTGGTTAGGTTTGGTCATATATCATCGTTAGTCTTAACTCAAATATAATCAAATTAACTCATACATAATGAAATGGATAGCTCTATCATTTCACAAGAAAAAAGTTATAAAAATACATAAATTCAGGAAAACTTGACTTATTATGCAAATCTGACCTTGCATAGTAGGCCGAGTATTGCGTTCTGACTACTAGGTACGACATATATGTATATATAAGGTGGAGCGGCTCCACAGAACCGGATAATACAACTCATCAGCTGGGAAGGTAGGGAGACTCATTTGGATATTTGGAATTATAAAGAGATTGCTGTTAGTGTGCAGGCATTTTGAGTTAATTTAACGTCAGATCGCTGCTATATGACCTATGTCTTTGGAGGGATTTGGAGCCGAGATATTCCCAGACTCTGTTGACGTAGAATGATGAGGATGTACAAATATCTATAATGTCATGGAATGGGTGGTTCATATGAGTTCTACTCCTAAATGTCTTCATTGTGTGACATTGATTGATTGTAGCCGCCGGAGGCTGCTAGTTTATTGTGCACCCCATATCCATCCTGTGA